GTATTGTATATTCTCGCATATAACTCGAGGCCTACAGTAACATAGAAAATTGTGATCGAAAAATAGGGAGTCGTCTTATATGCGCAACATACATATTTTTTTATTATTTTATTTTTAAAATTATGTTCATCGTATGTGTGGATTGTCCATGACACACAAATTTATTGCTGAAATGAAGTTACCTGTGCTACAATAACTGTTAAGTTCACCTTGTACATTGTCAGCCAGAAATAAATGCAATACAAGGCGATTATTGTTTAATTTGTGAGTTAAGTTTAAATTGACGCTTTTTAAATGCTGATAATGAAATCCATGAACTTTACCAAACGTTTGACTTACAGTATTATACAATTTGAAGGCTAAATGCAGGCCTGGTCCCAATAGATTGTATCAAAAGGAGGAATTCCAATGGTAAAACGGAAGGGAGGGTGTCATCTTATACACCCAACAAACAAAAATCGTCCAAAATTTTTCCTACAGTAAACTCAGGGTGATCTTATATTATACAGTACATGCACTGCCTTCTACCTGAGAATATAAATGGTTAAAAACACAGCAAATTTGCATTCCCTTCACAACTTTTTTTGTCAAAATGACCATATCTATTGCATTTGGTTCATTAAATAAAAGTTGTCCAAATTATTATTATTATTATTTACATTTAAACAGAAAAATACAGAAAGCTTGGAACCAGCATAGAATCTATCCAAGTGATGTCTTGAAGAAGAAGATAGTTAGTATCAACCACATAGATTTGAATGATTTATTAGTAACGCCTTTAAATTTTAAGATTTCCAGTAAGGGTATGTACACACACACGGTGTAAGACTGGCGTAGCTAATCCACAGAATAAAATTCCAAAGTGTGCACACAAACGGCATTTGCTATATTAACGCTAGCGTTAAACTAGTAGTAATGCCTATGGGGGAATAGTTTTCAGTTTTAAATAATGTACGGGTTCTTGACTGTAGTAAAATATTTACAGTGCATCATTAAAACTTTTAAAACTGAATTGTTCGAAGTGAACTTTACGATTACTGTATTTTAAATGAACAATTTTACTTCTGATTTTTCAGCTAGCATTGTGGAACAATTGCTGGTGTTGCAGGTTTTAATAGACAGTTAGGTTAAAATATCTTACAAAACACAATCAACAAATCATATACATTGTAAACCAAGTAAAATGCAATAGAAAAAGAACCTCTTTACCATTTCATTAATAGAGAGCAAAGGAAAGGGATTAAAGTAACTACAGTAATCTATTGCAATTGTGATTGGTCAATTTCTTGAAATGAGGTCAAACCATTCAAGCATCACTGGCATTAGCTTCGTGGTGTTAACTAATCTGGGGTCTGCAGGTAGCGTAAATAACTTCACGAAGGTGGCGTTGTGAGTAACGCCACTGCCTAGTTCACAAACAAAGGCGTACGCTACGCCAGCCTTACGCCGTGTGTGTGGACATACAGTACGCTAAGATACTGTATTAGCACACAGTTCTGAGTACCCATCTAATTACGGTAGCTTTGATAAAGGGATTAAATATTGACACAAATCTTAAAAGATCATATAATCTAATTATCCTGATATGGGTAAATTACACTGTAATTGGACTCCTGTGCAGCAATCAAACTTACGACAATTAAGAAACAGTAGGCAACTGAATTGTTTTCCTCAGAAGTCCTTTATTTTGGAAAATGTTTTGATACAAAATTACAGATGTCTCCACTCACAATAGGGAGGACTATTTATATTCATGTTGTTTTGTCCTGCTGAAAAATTGACTTACCTTTTATGATACTGTACATATAGTACTTAGTGGTCACCCAAGAGATCTGATAAACGAACTAAGATTTACTATTTGAATCTTACAACATACAGACTACTATATTGTACTGTACTATAAGAAAAGTAAATACATTAAATGGCTTTGTAAAGCACATGGAACTCATGATCAGCGGTGGTGCCAGTAGAGTGTGAGGGGGACACTGCATGGACTCCCGTCGTCCAATGCTACAAGGTATAAGCTGATCTAAATAAACATATTGTGATTGTCAATATACAGTATACAGTATTACGGTTTAAAAAGCACAATCTTTTAGAATCTCTCCGCATTAACCTCATCATCAGAGATTTTAGGCTCTAGATGGCACCTTGGTTAAGACCTCCTGATAGCATTGTTTAATATCCTCTACCTATGCAAATTTCTAGAGCCACTACTGGCCACATCATCAGAATTTTATTGTTTTATTAACAGTTGTAATTTAAGATTGTTTGCAATTTATCAATCAATCATTTTATTGGATCCACTTTTGATATAGTGGCACTCATATAAAATGTATGGTGCATCCAAGAGACATACAAAAATAGAAGAAAACATTCAGTTACTACTGTAAAGTATCTAACACTAAACATGAATTTGCTTGCTAAAGCACAGCAGGGTTGGTTGATTAGACATATCTATTTTGAATAAACATAGTGCAGCGTTTAACCATGGTTTAACCAAGATACTGTACTCTACATATTACAATGTACCATGAAGCTTCCTCAAAACACTTTTCAACAACTTTTCACAGAATATATGTTCAATCCAATAAATTAGGCTATACAAGCATACCATAAAACATGGAATAGAAGCCCAATGGGCTTAATCTTGAGAAGAAGCCTATCTAGAAAAGCCCATCCAAGGGTCCAAAAAAACAAAGCACACGGGGGTTTCTATTTGAGGTTTTACAGTATACAATTTTAACACTACAATAATTTGTAATTAATAAGCACCACTCTTGAATAACATTTAAGGGCCACACTTATTGGGGCATTTATTGGGTCGTTCACTCTTTGTAACAACACGTATTGAATTTTCACTTTTCCAACTATTTTAATGATGTAAATAAATAATTATAATTTTGTATTCTTTTTATGTAATATTTTTATAATTCTATTGTATAATGTTTCCTATTTTAATATTATTTTTATTGTATTATGAAGATGAAAGTTTGTAACCATTTGTGTGTGCAATGAACCCTGATCACGAACAGCTAAAAATAAAGAGTGCTTACTAAATATTTTACCTATTACAGTACATACATTTAAAAAAAATTTTTACATCAATATATGTTACCATTCATTATGTTATTGTGGTCCTTACAGTAAGTTCAACATACTGTAGGGGAATCGCTAATATTTTCGCATTTGTTGTTCCATACTCTTAGCACTACTGTACTCAGAGTCATATAGTAAACGGAACATTAATTTGATCCAATAACTGTATAAACAACTTTCCATCATCATAAGTATTACCGGTAGTTTTATAATCCTTAAACAAAATATTCAAAAATGAATACTGTAGTAAATAACAGAATGTTACAGTACATGGTGGTAATATGTGAACTTCAAGATAGTGTACGGAAAGTGCACCTGTAGTTTATTTATCATTTGCCAGTTTTACTACGGATGAACAGAAACTTTTAAACTAATAAATAATAGCGAACAACATTTACACATGCAATAAATAAATCATTTGCCATTCGTCTGCAGTGTTTAGTTTAGCAAAGAGTAAAGCTAGGCTACAGTATGGTGCATGCCCCGTACGCTCGACGTTGGAATCCTAAACAAACGACACCCTTTATGCCCATCAATGTGTTTTAATTACCCAGTAATGCACCACGCATGGTTTATCTGTTTTCCCACATGAAAGTGACTGTACATCATGATTCAAAAGTTTCACTATTATCAATCAACAAAAAGACAGAGTTCGTAAAAAATGTACGTGTACAGTACTGTACGTACTTTGGTCAACTTTAAATGAGTATAACTTTTTGGTTTTATTAAGTTTAACATACATTTGTCAAATCAGTAGTGAAAATGCCCAGATTGCGCTAAAAATTCAAGGAGGCATCACACCCCTGGTTCCCTACAACAGCCCCCCCTCCCTCTGGCCGCCAGCCAGAGGCGCGTTGCTACGCAACGTAAGTTCTCACAGATTTTTTTTTGGAAAAGTTGGCAACTATGATGCACCTTTCCCATTGACATAAGGGCTAGTGGGCTACAGCTAGGCCTATTTAAGATAAAATTCTGGAACACAAAATAGGCCCACAGTAGTCCCTAGCTAGCTATCAATTGTTTAATGCTTTATCTTTAAAATATGTAAAATATATTCAAAATTTTGATATCTTGATAGTGAAATTTACGGATTTGGGAAGTAGTCCACTTCAACGTCTTTTTCGAAATTGAAGTTTGTGTCTCTTCGTGAAAACGGTGTCCAAATATGCATTACAGCACAAACACTGCCTGTTTACAAAATTGATACCCACTTATACGTCGCGTGACCAAAGGTTCTTAGCGCAGTCAGATGATCGTCAAAGGACTAAGTCTAAATTCAAGTTGTTTCTCCAGTTTACTATAGGGCCTATCTCCATGGGCCTACTACTACTAGGCCTAGGCCTCTAGGCCTAGGCTAGGCCTATATTCTATAAAACTGAATTCAAGTAAATTGAGGATGTAAGATGTTGATTAGGCCTATATTGTCAATCCAGTGAAATAAATATTATTGCTGAATAGCATATAGAAATGAATGAAAGGTGTGCGCCCATTTGTTAATGTTTCTGTAGGACCTATCCTACGCTTTGCGGGGCACGGGCGGGATAGGGCAGAGAGGGAATCCGACAAAGTGTATGTAGGCTAGGCCTAAGGCCTAGGCTAGGCTGCCTAGCTTTTCATTTGACACACATTATTAAAAAATCAATTCTTCCCTGAGAATCTAATGATTTTGATTCGAATCCTTCCCACGGGAGGAACCAAAAAATACAGAGTTCTATATTACTCCTTTTGTGTTAAAAACATGGAATTTAATAATTCCATATCTGACAGCCATTTGGAAAATGTGATCAAATCAAACGATTGTTTACAACCGATCCCTACATAACGGTGAACGAACTTCCCTGGAAAGGGGTGCCAAGGAACAATCTCGTCCTCTCTCGTGCAGAAAACATAGCATATCTTACCTTTTTCTGTCGTTGGAAACGTATTTAAAGGTTCCTCGTCACGACCGACTTGAGTAATAATGGACGTACTTTCCATTTAGATCACCTATGTATTTGGTTTCACTGCAGATTTGTCCTAAAATTCCAAGCAAAACATCCAAATTCTCACATGCGAAGCGAGCCAAGATGGTGGAAAGAGGTCAACATAATTATAAAATAAGTGTCAACTTACGAGGGAGTTTCTAGTGAAATCGGTATGATGTAAATAAACAAGTAGAATGTGGGCAGAACAGCACCATGCTACATATAAATGATGGGCTGAAACATTTGAGTCTCTGGTTTTACATGCAAATAGGACTGATAATAAATTGTATGTGGATATTTATTTTAAAAATATGCTTCTAGGCCTACATCAGTTTAAATGCATTTATGATTCTTTAAGCGCCAAAATGGCGTACTCGCGATACACACCAGCGCTAGCTTTGTCAATTGAGGTGTCCTCAGTCGAACTGAGGCTATGATTGGCTGGTTTTTTTTGCGGTCAAGGTTTACATTCATTTAGCCTGATCGAATGTGTACAAACAAGAGCACATTGATCTGACCAGGGAGTTGTTATACACAACAACTCCCTGATCTGACCAAGGATGTATAACATTGCCTGGAGTATCTGATTTTGGGAATTAACACAATATTTATTGCTGCTGTTATCGAAAGAAAAAAAAGAATAAGTGGCAGTTGGGGGTGGGGGATGTCGAAAGGGACCGCTTTTTCCTGGTCTCTTCCCCCAAAACCCAATCTATAATTTTGAGTAGGCCCGGTTTTTATGCGTGCGTGATGGTTACTTGATCATATTGATAGGCCTGCCACTATTTTTTTTTTTTATTAAGATTCATAATATTAGAACACCGAGTCCGAAATTTCTTAAAAAATAAGAACGAAATAAGAACAAATTTTTTGGTCTATCTGTATCACACGACGGAGACGAGTCATCATGGGAGTGGGGGTGCGAGAAAATGTTAGAGGGATTGAGAAAATGTTACTAGTTAGGGGGATTGAGAAAATATGTTACTAGTTAGGAGGGGGAGGGGTTAGCAAAGTATTTTTGTTCACGGAGTGGTCGGGGGTAGGCAATCTCAATAGAGATAATTGTTATGGCTGAAAAGACTGCGTTTAATTATTAGACAATTTCAAAGCATATGTGACTACAAGTCTCCTATAATAAAAGACCACTTCTGGGACTGGGCGTCCATGGTTTTTATAGAGCTTTGGTCTCTAAATGGAATAACAAAGAAAGCCATTTGTTAATTTAAGACCATAGAAAAGTGGTCTTTAACTTGAGGGGTCTTTAATTAAAGGGAGACCTGAATTTAACAATAATCAAATTTTATTTTGTAATACACACATTTCTAATCAGAATATTTGCGTTCAACGTAGGCCTATACCATGCATAAATCGTCAAATCGTGCATTACTGTCATTAATGTGTAGGTTACATGCTTAATCACACATGAAAATTAAGCCTCATTCAAGCTGGTTGGTTAATTTTTAAATAAATGATGTGTCTTTGATTGCTGGGGTAATAGTAGAAGGGGGGGCCTGTGACCCTCCAGCCCCTTTAAACCGAGGACTCTGGGAAGAAAGCACATTTGGTAAAGACTGCATTACAGTGCTGGGTAGTAGTAAGAGGAGCTCAGGGTCTCTTCAGGCTGGGAGCCTGGCAAAATTTTACTGGTTCTTATTTTTTTAAAGTGCAGCACTCATGCCAACACAAAAACCAAGGAGCATAAAACGTCAATGAAACTACAAATTATAGAGGGCGCAAGTTAACTTTTGTAGGATATGAATGCGTGTGTGGTACTGCTTGCTGGAACAATCAACAAGGATGAGAACATTTTAAGGGAGTTTTTTCGCACGCAATTTCGATGATCACCGTCTAGTATCAGTCGGTGTGCAACACCCCCAACGATAGATCAGGTAGCGTGAACAATGAGTACATGTTAGGCGAGAATTTGTTGTACCTTGTTTTGCGAACTTATTTTTTTAAAGATTGTCAGAGGGAAGAAAAAAAATTAAAATAAAATTTTGTTTTCTTATTTAGCAAACAGTTTTGCCAAAAACATCCAGACGGAGAAAATAAAAATAAAATTTTATTGGTGAATGTAAACAGTGTAGTAATGGGATGGTTAAATGTTTTAAATTTATATACTGTAATTGGGAAGAAATAATACATAGGCCATATCTTAATTTTTGGAGATTTCAAGGCAGTGGTGTGCGTAATAAAAATATAGAAAAAGCTGTTATTTTTTAAATAAAATGTCCATTTTTCCGTGGCAACGTGTGCGCTAATTGGCCAAAAATAAAATTTTATTTTTATTCGAAGACATCATTATTTGCGGGCGGCGAGTTTGCTAAACAAGGTACAAAATAGTCTTGCCTTACCAGAATAGTGCTACATAGCACCAGTGGTTTCAGGGCAGACGGTAGTGGTGCTAGGTATCTCTCAGAACATTGGCAAATTAAGAACAAAGGGTTCCACACACAAACACAAGACTAAGTGTGAGTGGAGCTGTAATTTGGTAGTTTTAAAATATGCTTGATTTTAAATTAATCCTAAACTCCTTTAAGAGTCAGGATTCTGCCTCATAACCAAAAACTCCACTCATTAAGCCTCATAATGAGACCTATTTTCATGTTCCTGTATGCTTCCTGTGGAAAGACCCCACTTATTTATAATAGTGATTAAATGTCATTGGCAATCCCTGTACTACTGTATGTACCTCAATGATTTAAACACCAATACAAACTTCCAGTATTAATAAATTTATTTTATTCACACTCACCTCTTCATATAATGATAGCTTACTGAAATAATGACATATTTCAGATCAAACAATTCAGTTTACTAAATTTATGGGTTTTCCATTTTTCCTCAGTGAGTAACTTGCCAATGGACACAATATGATACCCTCAGATGTTACTCAGGGGAATCAAGACAGTAAAGTAAATGATCTAATGAGCATCTCTCTCTTTGAATAAGTACTGCACCAAACATAAACTTATTCGCTAGGCATCACTATTGAATAAGCACCACGACATGTACTAGATATATTCAATGATTAATTACAATTTCATCTTTTTTTAAATTTATATTTCCTTCACATCCAACAGCAAGTAACTTGCCAATTACAGGATGGATTGATGCTTTAAAATGAGTCACTTTATGAGGCTTAGCTGATTCTAAGCTATTAAAAATTATAGTAGAAATAACATAATCAATATTCCTGATGATGACATAATTAATGCCGAAATATTGAATCCCGACACGATGACGTGCATTTTGATACTTGGAGTACATATTATACTATATTATAATCAATAAAGTTTATTGATCAGTTTACAATAAAAAAAAAATCATAAGAAAAATCTATCATTACATATTCTATTTTTAGCATTATGTATTAATTTACATATTAACATTTATTGTATTGGGCAATGACACTTCTTTTTCCAAAACTGATTATCATTATGTAGTGCATAATGAGAAGACTGACATAACCCTAATCAACAGAACATTACTAGTTCTATCTCCAGTTAATTCAAATAGCTAAATATTTAAAACAGCATAATTCTGCCAAGATAAGTACCACATCATGCTAAGACAAGTTACTGAGGTTATCCTGCTAGAGTTAACAAGTTATCTTGCAAACATTGTCCTAGTCACTTGAAGAATTTCACTGTTCTAACAAAATCTCATGTTTTAATGAACTTGATTAACATTCCATCCACCTCATTTATATTACTATTCCATTAGAGAAGACTAGTTACGATGTAGAACGCTAATAATTGTTCTAGCGTCAAAGATGAAGTGTTCCATTGTGGTGAGCCAATCTGCTGCAGAAAAGTAATTGCCTGGCCCGGACAACTCATTTACCATTATCAGTTTGTCTCGTACTATGAGTTGAGATGAACCAAGTACGGTAAAGTTACAAGCTCTTGTGTCTGTTATCCAAGAAAATCAACAACTTCTTCTAATTCTCGTTGTCTAGCTTGTTCATGGGCCCATCTTTCCTCAGCAGTTTTTGGTGCTATCTTCCATTTTTCATGGTAAACTCTCTTTCCACAACTTGGGCACTTCTTGCCACCTGTCAAAGAAAGCAACTAATATAAATTCATCGCCAACTTTATCAATATTATAGGTTGTCTCCTTCCACCCATGGGTATGTGTACCTGGTGGGATAATATGCCATGAGACTAATCTCTAACAGCAATAGTATTAAATTGTCTCCTAGAGAGCTGATATGTGTTCCATTGGTATTTCATTAAATGACCAGGGTAATTATTATTAAGTAAAAGGAGGCCAACCTTTGCATGACGTGTTATATAAAACTGGCAAATTAATCATTCTTATTAATACCTTTATCATCTATATGACATTTACATTTATTATTTTATCATTATTGTAACATATAGATCCATGTATTTTATTTTTTTCAATAACGTCAAAGAGTGTGTTACAATTATTTATTATTATGATCTTTATAATTTTTAACATTACTGTATATAATTAGCCATGACTAGAGGAAATGTCGACACACCACCTTGTTTTTGAATGTAACTCAGCTGTTCAACAGAAAGACACTTTCTGTACAACACATTTGAATTTCCAGCAGAACTATATAAATTTAATATACTAATGCAAGATGCTGTCTGGTTGGTAGGTAGGTATGCATGTTGTAGCTCTACATAGAAAATATTATTATAATCATCAGTAATATTATAATCAATGTCTGAAAACATTAGGACATACCTGTAAAAGGAGGTGTTTTCATGTATTCTGATAAGCAACCATGATGAAATAAATGACCACAATAAACCCACTCTACATGACGGCCATGTTGGGGATCATTCACAACATGCTGTTCAACAGGAAATGAGAATACAATCATACTTTTAAAAAAACACATGTAAGGATGATGGAAATATATTTATCAACTACAGAATTTGATTAGGACCAGACCAATAAGGGTGTTGTTTACACTTTGCCCACAACAACTGATGCTAACTTTACACAGCCTAATAAAAGCAAGTGAAACTCTATATCAAACATGTTTGGTTTCAAACTGTACTAGTTTCAATATGTTTGTAATTTAAAACTGAAATTTTATTATCATTCTTATTACTATTGGAATTAATATATTGATAATACACAATTTAATATTTGTCTTACAAAACATGAAAAGTATGGTGTATAAAACACAGTGAAAGGAAAAAGAGAGAACTTAAACTAGGCCTAGATAAACAAAATGACTACAACAAATGGAGTGCTTACATTCGGGTCCGCAGGAAAAGCAGTTTCCTTGCAAATGACACATTTTTCCATAGGATACCTCTGGATGCACCCACGGATCAGGAACTCTGCGATAAACTTCAGAGATGGTTTCGCTTCAAAAGGTAAATCTCTGTAGAACAAATGTAATCAAGTTAATAGTGATGCTAAATTTATTACTGATTTACCAAACAGTTTATCTTTAGCACACAGGAGACAGTTACTAAAAGCGTCAACTAAAATGCCCAAAGGATTGTGTGTTCCTGAGGATTTAAAACACCTATATGTTGCCCTCTATAATGAGTTTTTAGAGGCATTTTTTATGATAGTTACTAAGGGGATGCAAAGATGCTAGCTTAGGCTTTTAATCAATATCAATCTATATTTTATCTTTATTGTATTTCATTTGCAATGAAAGAAAATAAATGTCTTAATTCTATTGAATTGGTCTAGGCATAGGCGACCACTATGTTCTTCATTATTTTCGGTAATATGCATATTGTAAAATTCAATTCAGTGTGCACATGTGAATACCCCAGTATGCTAAGGGTTTAAAAAACTGATTCCCCCATAAACCATTTCGGAAAACAAGAGCCAATTGAGTTTTGTATACAAATCTGCAGAAGGAGTTAGAAAGCAACACTTGCAATCTATCCTTATGGCCTGTTTCAGCAAACTTGTTCAGTAGAAATACAATACCTTAATATTTACAAAAAGCATAGATTTGCCTGTATGACTAACTTACATAAGAATACATACTTTGGCTTTTTCTTCAGAGGAGGGGCGACACATTGCCTTGCCATTTCTGTTGCTTGGGCAATACACATTTTCTGGAACAAGTCAGGAAAGTTTGTCTCTTTTTGTTCTACACTACAAAATAAGAACAAATTTTAAAAATTTACTAATGCCAAAAAATGTTTTTTAATAAGTGGTATATAATTAAAAGATAAAATGAATAAAGTTAATTTCATTGACAAAACAACCTTTTAAAACCAATTTGACCTGTACTATAGCAACAATAAAAGTATAAACAGAATATTCATACATGAATAATATATAGTATTGTTATGTCATCAGAGTAAATACAAACAAACATATAAGCATAGCTAAAAAACAATGAACAAAACTAGATATGAAAAAATACTCACCTAGCTTGTTCTTCTGGATAATTGTTAGGAATTGTAAATTTTAATTTCATAAAATAGTTCTTTTGATTAATATTTGTGGTTAAAACTCCAGATTTTTGTTTGACCTTGATTTCATCTTCTGGTGTAATTAATTCCTTTTTTATAAAACTAAGTTCATCACTACATACAGCAAATGCATTGTCTTCTAAAAACTGTCTTATAAACTTCAATACTGGCAGAACCTAAAAAAAAAGTAAAAAGTTAAGCATGACAGTCAATTTCTGATTTTTGGGACAAAAAGTAACATAAAAAAACAACACAAACAGATTAATATAGTCAGTATACAGGCCCTGTCTCCCGTAGCATGGGGGGGGGGGGATTAAGGGGGTTACGACGAACCGCCCAAAAACTGGAGAAGGTCCACATTTAAAAATTAAAAATTGATATTCGTAGATATATTGCAATGCTAATGACCCTGCCTCATTGGTCAGTTGTTAAGTTTGACATTGACTTTGAACAGGTACTTCACAACTCTTTATTCAGGAAACACATACAAAGAGTGACTGGGTAGTTTGGTATCCCAGTGCACTAATTATTACCATTATTGCCTACTTGCCATATTTTTGCAAATATCAATTAATTCAGCCTTGGCTGCGATTTTGATGTGTATTTGAATAAAGAATTAAAAAAAAAAAAAAAAATTACCACCACATTAGTACCTATGTAATTAATATGTGTATGTTTTTCCATAGATATTTGTTGCAATAGTAGGGAAAATAATATCAAAGTTTATAGAGGCCTAAGTATGATGCACCAATAATGCTAATGAAATGATAATCAATAAGTATGATTACCTGCCGTGTACCTAGATATTTCTTGGCTTCAGCGTCTGCTATATTGCATATTCCATGTAGTAATTTTTCTGATATTGTTTTGCTTTTTAGTTCAATAATGATTGGTGAGCTGGGATAGTCATCACCAAACTGAAGACATACTACCAAGTTTTTAAACTTGGTTTTCCTATAAAAATGAAAATAGCCACAATTAAATGATTCTCCATCTGGGTTCTGGATTCAAATACTGCAACAGGATTTTTCTCGTGACAAAACAAGCCTCAAACTGAGAGTTTATTATAGAGCATCACAGAGTAGAATCTTTCTGTCAATTTTTATTTCTTTATTCACTGTGACTAGTGCAAATACAGGTCTCTCTTTAATTAAAGAGCCCTCCAATTAAACACCACCACCAATTAAATACCACTTTTCTGTGGTCACATAGTAACAGATGTCTTTTATTTTTATTATTCTAATAAGAGACCAAAGTACTAAGACCATGGAAACCCCTGTCCCAAAAGTGGTCTGTATAGAGATTAGAGAGACCTGTACAATGAATAGCTTGTTCATACTTCACTTTTACCTTAACTTAACTCTAACAGATGCCTGATGACATGTAATCAGCTCTGAGCTATCAACTTCACTTGTGCATTTTTTGCTCAGCTCATCTAGTTCCTCCTTGACAAAAGACATCTTAAATTAGAACTGTTTATACAAAATAAAACAAAAATTAATTTAATAACAATGTTATTATTAGACCTTTTCCAACGTTGGAAAAACGATCATGGCAGTATAAAGATACAGTATTTCATCTAGCTTAAAAGGTACAGTAAGTTTTTTTACTAGTCTAGGGTTAGGCTATTTTCACCATTAATTCAAAGCAAAGAGTATTGTCATGCTTGTCTCTATGAATTCCATCTAGTTAGGCTGCGATGTATTTAATATTCAAATAATCAGGAAATTAAGTGTGTTCTGTTCATTCTATTATTAAAATATACAGTATCCTTTACATTACAAATAAATAGGCCTCTATAAGTTACCGTGAAAATTTCAAGTTTGTTACACTTAAAATTACAACTCGTTTCTTGTATGTTATGCCAGGCCTAAGCCCTAAACAGGTTTCCCTCCTGGTGAATTGACAAATAATATATAATGTTTGCCTTTCCCACAGTCTTTTTATGTCGTTTTGCCTTTTCATGTTGTCTGCCTTTCCCACAGTCTTTTTATTACTTTTAAGTCAATAATATGCATAGTTATTATATAATTATTAGATTACAATATTTATTAGGATATTTATATTAGATAGTAATTCAATGTATCGAATTGACCGAAAACATACAATACAAAACGTGTTCCATACATCACAGCCGAAACGGTCCTACACTGATGGCAGGCAAGGATGGAAAAAAACACAAAAAAGTACCAAACTTATTTCTTGTTTCTTGTTTGTTTGTTGTGCCCTGCTCAATACGACCAATAATAAGGCCCAGGCTAATAATTATTAACAATAGATAATCTTGCAATTGTAACGATACATGCTCTGTCCATAGTAAAGTAGTTTAAATGCATATATAATAGTAGACCTACGACCTGGCCACTTCTAGAACCTAACCCTACCCCAAGCTTAGTGCTAGGCCGAAACGCGGGTCTAAATGTGTTGGTCTAGCCAGGCCTAGTCTATAGTATTTTAGGGCCAGAGGCTAGCTTAGTTATTATTAATATAGGGCTACAACTAGTCAAAGAAATAATATCAAACAAACATGTATTATTATTAGTTAGGCCTAGGCCTAGGCCAATATCTACTTATTGGAATCGCCATTATTTGATTACAAAACATTTCTAATGTATACTGAATTATTAAGAACAACTTTCCTGTGAACTCGACGATCAAAAAAAATCTTACCACTCACTACAAATATTATTATTTCTCAGCTAGAGACAGGTATATATAATTAAAGGATGCCAGTCAGTTCGAGCGGATGTCAGTTCGAGCGGATGCCAGTTCGAGCGGATGCATTTAGTGCGAACTATAACAAGGGCGAACTTATCGTCGCCGTATTCTTGTATTTGTTTGTTTAAATGCAAAAAAAAAAATGCTCTGATTACTAAGGTTCTGAAAGGTTTTTAGTACTTTTTGATAATTACTCCATGTTTGAATTACAGTCTTGGCAGCTCCGACTACCAAGATGGCCGCTAACAAGTTAAAACTACAGTATAATAGAATTGCGCACTTTTCAGCTTAAAAAAAGAAGAAAGTGTATGTTTTACTAGAGTGCACGAGAAGCACACACACAAGACGAGACAAGTGACCATTATTTTTTCACGGTAAACAAAGTGGGGTGGCTAGCCACCCTATTCACCACCCCTCCCCCCCTTCCCCAGATCCGCCACTGGATGGGGTTCTGTATTTGAAAAAGCAAATTATATTTGTAATTGAGTTATATGCTACTCACTTATCTATTGGAACTGGCCCCTTTGAAAATGTCAAATTTTTAGCTCAAATTATATTTGTAATTGAGTTATGCTACTCACTTATCTATTCTAGAACTGTTGTGTACCCCTTCCCCTTTGAAAATGTCAAATTTTTAGCTCAAAAATAGGAAATTTTGAAGTAATTCGTATAAAACTCGCACAGGTTGTTGTTCGCACAAGTGGATCTTCTTCCGCTCAAACTAGCATCCGCTCGAAAAAAATTCCGCTCGAATTGGCCTTCGCTCGAAGTAGCATCCGCTCGAATTGACTGGTTCCTACTAATTAAAGTATGCCAAAACATAGCTACATCAAGCTAGCCAACAATCTGCCAGCCAACAACAAGCCAGCCCACAATTCCAGCCAACAATAAGATAAGATACGATCGCGTTGGACTGCAGATTTCACTATTTACTTCACTATATGTGCGGCCGCGAAATTAGCGATGTTTTTAGTATAATCTTAGATAAGCATGTGGTTACCATAAGCAAGAATTTAGTCCAAAGAAACTGTTTATCATCTTGATACCTTCCGACGAAATTTGACCCTACCAGCGTCCCCACCGATCGATCTAACGTGACGTTGTTATGTGGGTGTTTTATAGATTATAGAGAATAGTAATATCACCGAAAAAATAGATAAAATGACAGTTGAATGACCAACAAAGGCAATTGAATACAATAGTTCGTCATTAGAAGTTATTTAGTATAACTTTATTTGGAAATTTAATCTCAAGATCGAGTTACCGTCCCCGGCGTTGTCAGTGACGTCGTATGACTTGTGTGTGATTTTTACCAATTAACCCTAAAGTAAAAAATAGTTGAGCCATGTAGTACCTTGGAAATCAACCCAGAAACCCGGTAGTTTGTTGATTGTTTATTGGTGGTAGCGTCCTTTCGCTGCCAAGTTTTTTGGCAGTTGCGTCCCGTTGACATCCCCTTTTCAAAAGTTAAAAAATAACCAACATAAATTTTAAGTATTAAAGTGCCATTCTCCAACTTTATCTCATGCAGCCACAAACATGACGGGTGGATATAGTAATTTTCCTAGTTTTTATGTATGACATTGCCATTTTCCGGCATCAAAATTCCCCAATTTTTAAGATTTTCTCACCTCCATGATGGGGATAGGCCTTTGTGGATATAGTAATTTTTGTTGTTTTTATGTATTTGCCATTTTCCTGCATCTAAAACTCTCTAATTCTTAAAATTATTTTACCTCAGCCTCAACCATGGTGGGCTGAGATAAATGGATTAAAATTTTCATAAATTTTAAGTATCAAGTGTTGTTTTGGGGCATCTATAAAGTCTCAAATTCTTGCAATTAACTCATCTGCGCCCCAAAACCATGTTGGGGCTCAGGTGGATATCGTAAATTTTGTACTATTCAAGTGCTTTTTTGTGCATCTAACGAGTCTCTACTTCTCAAAATGTTCTTACCTGAGCCCCAACCATAGTGGGGCTCAGTTGAAAATGGTAGTTTTTAGAATAGTAAGTACTTAAATTTCATTTTCGGGTACCTAATTAATTAATTGGGGTTTTTTTTTACTCAATTTGTCAAAAACATTATTATTTAATAGGTAATGTAAGTTCCATTTTGGGGCATCTAATGGTATAAAATACTGAAATTTTTTGTGTCACCGCCAACCACGATGGTACTGACGTGATGTGGACTCTCATTACATCAGCACCCCCTTCTTTAAAATATGGATACGCCACTTTGCTGAAAACAATAGTTAAGACAAATATATTTCCATTCGTTTTGTTGTTCATGTAAATGTCTGATAAGTTATTACTTTAAAACAATGCTAAAAACACAGTGTCAATACGAACATTTACACATGAAAGACTGAGCTGAGCGAGTCCGAATTAAGGTGGAATTAGTAGTGGTTATGTGACGTTTGTCATGCACTGTATTATGCGCTATAGAAATGGAAGAGCATAATGTAATGGGAATGAACGTCTCTGGTATTGCCGACAGTACAATCAGTGTAAAATATAGGCTATTGTGGATTTAAACAATGTCCTAATAGCAATGTTCAAAATAAATGTAAATCAAATAAATATGACT